CCGGCCCCACGGGCGGACACTCGGCCGGGCAGCCGCGGGCCGAGCGCAGCCGCCTCCGCCGCCGATGCGCCTGGTGGCCAGACTCCAAGTGGGACCGGCGGACACGCAGCCGGGCGGTAAGTTCAGCGCCGCAGGCTGCCGGCCCGGGCTGGGGGACTCCCCGCCACACTCTTCTCTCCCTGTACGCATCCGTCTTTTCGAAATCTCCCCGAACTTTGGCGGCTTGAACGCCCCCGGGGGGGGTGTTGGAGTCCTGGGGAGCCGCGCGCCTGGAGGATGAAGGGGGGTGAACGGAGTCCGCGGGGCGGCGGGAGCCACGCCCGGGTCCCCGAGCCTTTTGGGGGGCGTGGGTGACAGGTCGCTATTCCCTTGCCCCAAATCTTTACTTTTTCGGTGGGGGGGGTTGGAAACCGACAGGGGCGTTTGGGATTTTGCTCACGTCCGAAGTCAGGCTGCGGCAGGAGTGGGATGGGGGAGGCTTGGCGTCGGAGCGACTGAAGAGAGGAGCGCTTGAACCCGAAGGGGGTTCTTCTGCAAGCTTTTTTTTCCCCTCCTGAACACCCTTTTTAAAAAGCCAACGGCCGCCCTGGGAGAGGCCCCGGCGCATGAATCATCCTCGCTTCCTGCCCCCGCCCGGCCCCGCGCTCCGGGTGCCGCGGATTTGAACTGGACGCCGACGGGAACCCGCAAACAGGCATTTCTTTGCAGATGGGTTTGAATCAGCCAATCACAGCCCGCCGGGGCCCGCTCCGGGAGGATGGAGGCGCGGGTTGGGGGGCCGCCACCCGGGGGCCCCTCGCCGGGCCAGGGGGGGCGCGGCGACCGGGCCCGCTCCCAACGGCGCGGCGGGGGAGGAAGTGTCAGTTTGTGAACCTGCCGCGGCCTGGGCCCCAGGCCTGGCGGGCGGGGACCTCGCAGCGCCCGGGAGCCAGGTGGCAGGGAGAAAGCAGGGATTCGGACTGCATACCCTGCCCAATGCTTGTGCGCTCTGCCCTGGAGAAAGAGGAATGGGGCGGTGGGGAGGAGGGGGACGTGGCCGCACTGCCCCCTGGGGAGCCAAGACCTTAGCAGTGCCCGGCCTGCCCCAGGGCCCCTGACATGCACACACACATATTTAGTTTCTTATACTCACTGACGTACTGCTGTAGACATCATCAGACACAGTCTCACAGGAGTACACACCACTCACACGGAAAATACACAGGACTCTCTCCCTGTCTGCGCACCATCATAACACCAGGTGCCCAGCGCCCTGGCAGAGAGGGAGGGGACCAGAGTAGCGGGTACAGGGAACAGAACAAGGCTGTGTTTGGCGTAGTGCAGAGTGTGTGGAGGGGCATGGAGCCAGGTGAGCCCAGAGAGGGGAAGAGGAGGCTTTGGGGAAGGCTTGGAATGCCAGTGAAGGCACTGGGGTGCCCCAGAAGGTTTCTGGAAGGGAGAATAAGAAGATGGGAATTTGTGGAAGAGTCTGGTGGGGAAGCAGGAAAACAGGGAGTGGCCTGTTTGGCATTGGGCGCTGGTGGTACCATTCCCATCCCAGGTGCCCAGCATAGGTGAGCACAAGGTTCAGGAAACAGTTATTGAATGAATGAATGAATGGCCCATGCAGAAGAGAGGCCTGAACTCAGACCAGGACAGGGAGTGGAAGAGAGGGGCCGAGGCCAGAAGTCACTGTGCTTGAAGTTGGCTGACTGTGGCAACTCATTGGTTGGAGGAGTCTCAGATGCTTGAGGGTTCTGGGGACCAGAGAAGTACCATTAGTAGGCAGAGAGAAAGCCATGGGGAGCAGCACATTTTATGGGATGGTGAGAGACAGGCATGGAGAGGGTGGCATGGGGATGATTTAACTGCTTGGAGCAAATTTGCATCTGAGTGAAAGCATAAGTGAGTTTAAATGCCCCAGAATTGGTTTCCATTAAATCATCCCATAATTGAGAACAGAAAAGGGGATTACAGAAGACACAGATGGCCAAGTCTATACCAATTCACCAGCCACCCAGGAGTTTTCCTTTCTAGGTGAGTTTTCTGTGGCCAGCTCTCAGGGTAGGGGTAGGGGATAAAAACTTCCCGTTGATCCCCTGGAGAAGGTCCTCGACTCAGACAACATGGAGAATGTTTGCTTTCGGGGTGAAGCCTCAGGCTCCTCAGCTGGGGAGTGTGGTTCAGGCCCCTGGGCAGGGAGACTTTGCTGTTGGTTGAGAGATGCGTTCTCATGAGAAGACAGCATGGTATGGGTGGGAAGAGAGGCAGAATTTAGAATCAGCTCCCCTGATTATGAACCATGGCTCTGCCTCTGACCTACTAGCCACTTCCCCTTGCCAAACCTCAGTTTCCCTACTTGTAGAATGGGAATAATAATGTCTCCCTTGGAGGCTTCTCATGAGGATCTGGTGAGATGATAAAAGTGTCTGGCACGTAGCACGGGTTACATAAATGGTAGTTTTCTTCCTTCTCCTGGTGGACTTTTGAAGCTGGGAAGCCAGGAGTAAAAACCCTGTTCTCTTTCTTTTCCAGTGTCAGTGGAAGCTGATGGAGAATCGAGCTCTGGACCCAGGGACTAGGGACTCCTATGGTGCCACCAGCCACCTCCCCAACAAGGGGGCCCTGGCAAAAGCCAAGAACAACTTCAAAGACCTGATGTCCAAGCTGACGGAGGGCCAATATGTGCTGTGCCGGTGGACAGACGGACTGTATTACCTCGGGAAAATCAAGAGGGTAAACCTTTCCTCCCCGGCCCCAGTTCCCAGGCTCAGCATCTCTCGGCTCATCCTCTGGCCTAGGCCTCAGACCAGTGATGGAGGATGTGGGATTGCTGGGAAATTCCCTTCTTGTCCCTCAGGCTCAAAAGCTGACAGTGGAAGGAGCTGGAGTCTGCTTCTGCAGGCGCCATCCTTAGGACCAACATCACCCTACCAGTTCTTTAGAAAAGTGCTCTGCGAGCCTACAAAACAAAACAAAGTCAGGTTGGAGAGGATCACAGATGACCATCTGGCCTGTTCTGTCCTCAGCATTCCCACCAAGTTGTCTCGCAGTCCCGGACTGTCCAGCTCCAGTGACTGGGCACACACTCCTTCCCCTTCTAGCCTAGCTCCTTTCTGGAGCACCAGGAGTGGGTCCTGGTCCCTCTGCCCTGCAGGGACAAAAATGGGAGAGGAAGACGCTGTTCCAGTGGCTTGCCCCCTGCCACTTTCTCACGTTGCTCCTCCCTCTCCGTGCCCCAGGTCAGCAGTTCTAAGCAGAGCTGCCTTGTGACTTTTGAAGATAATTCCAAATACTGGGTCCTGTGGAAGGACATACAGCATGGTGAGTATTTGGAAGATTTCAGGCACTCCTGCCCCACCCCCAGTCCTCTCTCCTCCACCTCCATTTTTTTCCTTCTCTCTTTCTATCTCTTACCCCTGGCATCTGGCCTTGTCCATGGACCCCCAAGGCCACCTGAGATGATGATCAGACTACCAGTGGTGCATTTACATGGAAAGGCACTTACGACATCTGTCATCCCCTTGAGTACTCAAACCTCATGAGGGAGGTGGGCAGATGGAGAGAGTGGCTCGGGGAGGTGCCGGGACAGCTGGGATGAGTCTCAGGCCTTTGTTTGCTTCCTTGCTGTACTTCTGCTGCACAATGCTCTGGGTCAGTCTGGGGCTAGGAATGAGGAGGGGTCCAGGCAATCAGAATTGTCACCTCTAGATGTGAGTACAGTGTCCCTTATCAACATGTGAAGAAAACTAGTGGAGATAGCTCTCTCCATGGGGGAAAGACCAAGTAAGCAGAGATGGGCCAGGCAGGGTGAAGATGGACATGCCTGGATGGAGCTGGACCAGCTTTCCGGGTTGAAAGGGAGCTGGGTTGGGTCCCATCCCTGCCCTCCGAGAGCTGACACTGTCTTACAGAGATGTCAAATCGGGGCCATTCTTGCCACCATTCTCCTTTCCCATGGATATGGCAGACATCACTAATCAATCATATTTGATATATGTAACGATATATATCGTTCTCAACACTCATGTAGTTTCAACATGGAGCTCCAAGCAGCCAGTACCAGTCAATCAGAGTTGCCATGAGAGAAGAAACCTGTCTGCCATTTATGCTCTAACAGGAGAACAGACATGGTGGTATGGGAGGAAGAGGCAGAGTTTAGGGTCAGATAGACCTTGGACCACCTTCTAGCTCTGCCACTGACTAGCTGCACATACTTGGGCAAGCAATGTAACTTCTAGCCTCAGTCTCATCTGAAAAAAGGAGATAATGAAAGTACTGGCCTCACAGGGTGGTTAAGTGAGATAATCCAGGTAAAAGGCCTAGCCCAGTGCTATTGTTACAGGGGGCAGTTTCTAAAGAATTTGTTACCGTAAGAGATGCTTTCAAGGAGCCTGCCAAGCAGAGGCCACAGAACCCAGCCAGTTAGTAGAGCGTCCAAACTGCCCCTTTGTCCAAGATGTTGTGGCTGATGCAGACTGATTCTTCTCCAAACCCGTCTCACTCTAAATTCATTATATAAGTTTATATAAGGAAACCCAGGCCTCCTCTCCTGGGTGACCCCTCTTATTGAAAGCATAGGGAGCCAGCTGGTGAGGAGAGAGTTCACCTGAGCAGACCTTGAGTAGAAGGCCCACTGTACCAGGCACGAGGCGGTGCTGCAGTGCTCACCTGGGGAATGGCGTGGCTCCTCAGCCAGATAACTGCTCCTCACGGGCAGGACGGCGGCCTCTCTGGCATCTCCCAAGATGAGAGCATAAGGCTGGACACGCTGTAGTTATTGATCCATCACCTCATTAAGCCAATGAGGACATACTGAGACCCTTGTGGGCACCCCCTTCCTGGAGGCATATTCAGGAATAGGAGGCAAGAGACCATTTATTCAACAAACATGTCTTGAACACATGTCATGTGCCACATTCTGAAGGAGGTCCCAGGGACACATGGATGAAGAGATACCATTTCTGCCCTTACAGAACTTTCAGTCTGCAGGGGGAAATTAGACAGAAACACACATCAAAATGTATTTAATTTATTCACTCAAACCTTTCACACATAAATCTGTATTTATTTTTCAACCCCCAAAAAAATGCAAAGAAAAAAAAGAGATGGAGAAGGAACCTGTAGTTTAAAAGCTATTGAGCACACTTAAAATTGTTATGACGTTTTTATTTGAGACAATTGGAAATGTGAACACTAACTGAATTTGTTGATGATATTAAGAAATTATTTTTAATTTTTAGGTGCAATAAAGGCTCTATAGTTATGTTTAAAAAAGAGAGAGAGACTCCTAATCTTTCAGAGATACACACTGAAATATTTATGGAAAATGAGTATCTGGAACTTGATTCAAAATAATACAGGAGGGGAAGTGGGTGGGAATATATTTGAAACAAGATTGGATGGGGCCGGCCCCGTGGCTTAGTGGTTAAGTGCATGCGCTCTGCTGCTAGCGGCCTGGGTTCGGATCCCGGGCGCGCATTGACACACCACTTGTCAAGCCATGCTGTGGCAGGGTCCCACATAAAGTAGAGGAAGATGGGCACGGATGTTAGCTCAGGGCCAGTCTTCCTCAGCAAACAAAAAGAGGAGGATTGGCATGGATGTTAGCTCAGGGCCGATCTTCCTCACAAAAAAAAAAGAAAAAAATAAAAAAAAAAGAAACAAGATTGGCTATGAGTTCGTTAACTGTTGGTGAGAACATGGAGTTTCATTATAACATTCTGCCTATTATTATCCCTTAACAAAATCTAAAAAAATTATTTAACATGAAAAATTCTTTAACAAATCAAGTTAAATTAGGCAGGAGAGGCAGTGTGATATGGTCAAAAGAACAAAGGATTTATATCAAACAGCCATGGGTTTGAATCCCACCTCTCCTACTTACTAGCTGAGCAAGGGACTTCACCTCTCTGAGCCTCAATTTCCCCATCTTTAGAATGAGGTAATGATAACACGCACCTCAAGAGTGGTGGGGAGATTCAGTGAGTTGGCACAGGGGCCCAGCACTAGGCCTAGCATGCAGTAGAGGCTCAGCACCTGGAATGTGATGTCAGAACTCTTCTAAGTCCTGGACCTGACCTGACCCTGGAGGGCCTCTCTCTCTTTCAGCTGGTGTTCCAGGGGAGGAGCCCAAGTGCAACATCTGCCTGGGGAAGACATCGGGGCCACTGAATGAGATCCTCATCTGCGGGAAGTGTGGCCTGGGTGAGTGAGATGAGCAGCCCTGAGAAGGCCCCGACCTGTGGGTCCCCATCCCCACACTGGCCCCGGACGGGCACTGCTGCAGACTCTTGGGGCCTCAGCTGGCTTCCTGTTTCTCTTGGAGCTCCAGAGTGACAGGGGGCCAGTGTCTGGGAACGAGGGCCCACAGAGGTGACCCTTGAGGAGTGCTGGGGCTTCTGGAAAGTGAGACAAGTTATGCACTTCGGAGCCCCCCTGGGTGGAGAGGATGGGTGGGAGAGATGGAGTGCAGAGGCTGAAGCCAGACCTTGTCCCTCCCCCACTGGGGCCCAGGCTGTCTTAGTCGCCTGCTTGGATACCAACTTTGGCTGCCTTGGTGAGTGTCGCCAGCCAGTCCCCTGGCAGCTGGCAGGCACACAACTCCCTGCCGCCTTTGGGCTGACTGGCCTCGGGCCACTGCTTCCTCGTGAGCACTCACCACCCCTCCTCTGCCATAGGTTACCATCAGCAGTGCCACATCCCCATAGCAGGCAGTGCCGACCGGCCCCTGCTCACACCTTGGTTCTGCCGACGCTGCATCTTCGCGCTGGCTGTGCGGGTGAGCCCTCCATCCTTCCAATCCCTGCCTCTCCCCCTCCTCCAGTCCGGAAGTCCAGAGACTCCCTGGGCTCAGGCCTGACTCCCTGTCACAGAGCCTGGGCTTTGGCGGCAGACAGTGCCGCTGCCACTTACCAGCTGTATGTCCTTGGCCTGTTTTCTCAGCTGTCAAACGGATACAGGTGTGGTGTCAGGAGGAGACCCCTCCCCCCCCAATGAGTGGTGCTTTGCTATTAAAAGAGAAAATCCGGGACCGACCCGCTGGCGTAGTGGCTAAGCTTGTGCGCTCTGCTGCTGGCAGCCCGGGTTCGGATCCCGGGCGCGCACTGACGCACCGCTTGTCGGCCATGCTGTGGCGGTGTCCCATATAAAGTGGAGGAAGATCAGCACAGATGTTAGTTCAGGGCCAGTCTTCCTCAGCAAAAAGAGGAGGATAGGCATCGGATGTTGGCTCAGGGGTGATCCTCCTCACAAACAAACAGAAAAAAGAAAATCCATGTAAGTGCCCACACCCGCTACATATTGGTTATTATTGTTGACTTTATTGTTGTGCTTATTACTCTTAATACTGTTATTAATGGAGACCCTTCTGGGATAGAGAGGAGGGATTTGGAATTGATGAGAAAAAGCTCCTTGCGTTTCTGGCTACGCTGGAGTATCTGTGGGTTCCCCTGCTCGGCATTTCCCTTGATAGCCCTGTGCTGACACCTGTGGCCCAACCGGGCCCCCCCCC